ATATATATATATATGTGAAAAAACAAATATTCTGACAAAATGCAACACACCTGTTAAAAGGAAGTCTGTATTTTCCAAAAAATACACAAAACTAAAATGTTATAGATGTAAATAGACACTCCTGAAACTAAGCCCCAAAATACAACCATCATTGAAAATTTGTTGTATTTTTAAAGTTACGGACCAGTGTTTTCTCTTATTGTTATCCTTAGGCTGAACAGTGATGTAACTTTTGACACTGTCACCCATTACTATACGTTTCAGCAGGGGGTCTTCCTGTGTGGAGATTACATGTTCTCTTTTTGCATGCAAAGGTTTTCAGTGTACTCTGGTTTCCTACCCCAATCCAAAAAAAAAAAAAAAAAGCAACATGCATGTTAGGTTAATTGGAGACTCTGAGCTGACTTGACCTGAGGAGTGTAAATCCTCATGATTATCTGTCTCACATTTCTGTGTTGGCCCTGCAGTGAACTGACGACCTGTCCAGAATATACGCTGTCTTTCCCTTGTTGATTGCTGGGATAGGCTTTACCCCTTCTTGTTTTGCCTAATCATCTGTGTTTAATTCCGTGACTGCATGCATCTTTATTTTATTTGTTCATTACCCTGTCAGCATTTAGGTTCTTTAATTCTGTTCACTGCCAGATGATTTTCTAAGCATATCTGTTTGGATCAAATTAGGTTTTAGCTTCTCAGTTCCACTGACAATGAAGTTTATGTTTGTGCTGCTTCTATCTGCTTAGTTGTTCCTGTGTTACTGTGAGCATATTGATGTTTTTTGCACTACTGTTTAGTTAAGTCTGACAATAGCAGCTGTTTTCCATCATTTTTACAATCACCACCAACACTCTTATTTTTTTCACTTTCAGAGTTTTTTTCCTTTGACAGCACACATAACAGCTGGTGGTTTCCTGCCCTAAGTTAATTTAAAACTCTAAAAACTCACATTAAATAAAACAAAACAAAACAGAACAAAAAGATGAAAAACACATTTTTTTAAGGTTTAGTTGCAAACAGCATTAATCTTGACAGCTGTGCACATCAAGAAAATGAGCATTAACACTCTAAGACACACACACACACTAACTAAACAATTAAAATCTATATAAATTAATTTTATGTGGCTGCTATTTAGAAAAGCTGCTGAAGAACACATCCTAACATCTAAAGCTGAGTACAGTCTAAATGTGCTGCCTGTACACGGCTGAGTAAAACATCATTACAACTGTCAGGAGAGATGGATTGTAGGTGATGTCCAATCATTTTATCAAAGTCGTGTTTCTCACAAAGGGGTGTTATGTTAGCTTTGCTCACCATAAAGGCATTAACTGTGCAATGTGTCTATGCTTCTTGTTTTCAGCAGAACCTACAGATCTTGTCAGAGTCCAATGCTTTTTCCACTTTGTTAATGTTAGATAGTTCTACTTACTTTTTTACTGTTTTCTGTTCGATTTTTTTTGTTATCTGTGCCATAGACAAGAGCACATTCAATTCCATATTTTATATGTTCGTTTTTATCAGCTTTGTTAGCTCTAGAGACAAACTGGATTCAAAATGTGCTCTTTTAAAGGGGAATGGGGTACTGTGACTTTTTGAGCTTTATATGATGTTATAATAACATCCCCTCTTCACAAACATACCCAGAGTGTTGCTTTGATTCATTCCTGCATGTTGGAGAAACCCTTGAATCTCCTGTTGTAGTCATTTGGAGCTACTGTTGTGTCTTTTCCTGGTCTCTGGTTCCGTTTCGGCTCGGTTCGGCTGGGCTTGTCAGCTGCTGAGACCCTTCTCGTCTCTCTTGCGTATGCTCAAGTCTGGGGCTGCTCTGGGCCGGCTGGTTCGATCCTCCCGTCTGCTGCTTGTGTGCTCACTTCGGCTCCTGGTTGGTGGCTGCTCACTCTGGCTCTGGGGCTGGTGAGGCTTACGGTGGCTGGTGCTCCGGCTGGCTGTGGCTGGCTCCTCTCGGCCGATGCTGTCTGCTGGCTTTTKGGTCGAATGTCAATAAAACTCTAATCTAACACGGAATGATGAAGAGGCGATTTCTCAGCTTTGGACATCGTTTATTTACGAGAGAGAAAGAAAAGCGTCTACCTAGCTAAAAAGTTACTCTAACTCTGCCCCCGAGACCAGCGTGCGCGTGCCCCTGTCGGCCACGCTCGTTCACATTCCTTAAAGGGCCAGTACACGAAAATATACGACACTACCTATATGCATGCTTGTACACAGCACCACCTTTTTGTACAAAGCTCCTCCCTGGAGCTCATTTCGCAGCCAAGTACCTCCCTGGAGCTCAGTCTGCAGCTGAGCTCCTGCCCCACAGAGCGCCCCTCCCTCCCAAGCATTGTTGTGAAGATGTGCTAAATTGTGAGTTTTGGAAATGGTAGGCAGTTCTTAAAGAGACAGAGGCCAATTTTAGATTTTTAGTCAAATATATTTTTGAAATATACAGTATTTTCATAAAAACTGAAGGTAACGTTTACTTGATTGTTGTATTGAATTGAACTATGTGCCTGCAGAATACCCCCCCGAAGTTTTGTTTCTAATTTCTCTCTGAGATGTTTTTTTAACAAGCACAATCAAAGTTTAAAAAAAAACCATCACATTGGAAAGAAACTGTTAAATTTTTGATGTTGCTGAATTTCTGTACAAAGCTAGAGATTTGAGCTACTTTTGCTGGCCAGGGTTATTAAGATTATTGTGAAAACACTTTTACAGTAACAAAGTTTACACAGATAGAATTATATATGGTTACAGATAAAAGCACATTTTTTAAATGTAATCTTTTTTAGGTTTTAGGAGTTAGGCAGCATTGACCTTTCTTTTCAGAGGCTCAGTGACAGTACATACTTTGCATGCAAGGTCAGGCAAAACATGATACTGACACATTACCCAGCTGTGGACTGACAAGCTCTATAATTTGTCTTGGTTTGATGGCCTTAAGTTTCTCTCCTCTATCTCTTCTTACCTTCAGCAACCTTTCTCGTCTGTTCGGCCACGCTACCAGTCATAACCTTGGCAATGTAGGCTCCGATCTCACCCCGACTGCCTGGAATCTCCTTACCCCCTACAACACGGATCCCAAGTCCATTCCCTGTAGTAAAAATATGGACAAAAATCCCATTTAGAAAATTTGAAAGAAATTAAAACATTTGTAAGCATTTTTTTCCCCTGAGCAATTCCAATGTTTTTTGCAGCATACCTGAAACACTGGGGTCATTCATGTCTCTCTTAAGCTTAATGCGAGTGTGAGGAAAGACGTACGGGACCAGTTTTATCTATAGGAGATTTGAAGGAATTAGTGAAGTGAATAATTGAGTGAACACACACACAAAAAAAGCTTGCATCACACCTGTCTCCGATCTGACATGTGGCTGCTCTGAGGCTGCCCTTCTCTTGGTTTATCAAACCAATCTGTGTCCTCTCTCCGCAGGTGGTAGGCTGGACAAGGAGAGGAAGTCATTAAAAATTATGCACGTACAAACCCACAGCCAGTGATTGAATGCCTGATAGCTGGATAAATCTCTGCTTTAAACATGGTGACTGCTTGACAGAGATAAATCTAGCAATCAAGCTGGGAAAACTGATTTTTTTTTCTTCCGTTATGCTTAGGAATTTTTTGCACATCCACCCTCATTTGTTAAAATGCAGGAAGATCTCTGATCTGCTCTCTTTGGTGAAAGTACAGCAAAATAAATACAAACTCTGTTCAGCTCCTGCCTTAACATCTACGCAATGCAATTATCACCAAAAGGCTTGTACAAAAGACACAACTTGCAGCATTCAAGAAAATTTCATTTCTGACATGCTTCTGATAGTAATGCATGCTGCTGTGCTATGCCATTGATTTTAACCATATACATCTTTTAAAAAATGGTTTTGAATAATCTGGCAATTGCCACAAGCTAAGGCTGCCCCATAGTTGCTTACTTTATTCTGTTTGTAACAAAATAAGATTTTTCAAAATCAAAAGTGTTTGGGAAGGTAGACTAAGTGTTGAAGCACAATCACACCTTCTTTTTCATTATAGCTGCTTGTTGTAAAATATCAATCCATGTTCAGACAATATGTCTGTACTATAAGTACCTATTTCTGAGAAATTGAAGTGCCACTCATCATACAGACCTTTCAAATCTTATATCAAATCTTTTATATCCATAGCTATATAATACCCAGAAGAGTGCATGTTTTAAAATCACCATTTTACAGCCCATAAAACAAACAAATAATAATAAAAAAATCACAATTTAAATGTAAAAAGCTCACATTAGCCACTCTATGATCAGAGATCCACAAATAAGTTGCATCAATAATAATGACAGAAAATGGACTTCTGCATGTTTTGGAGTAAAAAGCAGTGAATACCACTCAGCATCATTTTTGTGAAGATTTGAGCACAAATATACGCATGATTTTTCAAAAGTAAATATTTTAGGCGATGAGCATGAACACTAGGAATGGGTCTGATATGGTTACAAAACCACAGAGCAAACATTCCAGAATGACGTATAACTGAATTCACTATGGTGCGTTGCAGAATGAAACTAACATGTCAGCTACTACAAATGTATTAAATGATATTTATTGTTTACTAGTGAGATGTGGTGCATTCAAGGATGGTTCTGATATGTTTACAGAATCAGCCAGAGATGTGGATCATTCAAAAATCATGGTGCCTAGCATGAAGTTGTAAAACTTCTATGTAACTACATGGAATGCTGTCTCACCTTCTATACTCCAGTTTGTGCCTCCGGCTGGGATACAAAGTTATATGCTTTTTTCAGAAGTATGTTCAACATTTCTGTTTTTTTTCTTCACAGATGTGTGCTACATTTTTATTAGTATTGTGGATATTCTTTCGCACATGCAGTTAAAGCAATAAAATGCATGCTTAAAATTAATCTATATTACTAGCCTGGAAAAAAATGAAGCAGAAATAATGTACAAAAAAAATAGATAAATTGAAAGTTCTTTTAAAAAAATGAATCGAATACAGTAAATTAATGAAAGATGAAATTATACATCTTAACTTGTCTGTAAGCTACTTTTAGATACTCTACCGTGTCTGATACTTTCATGAAAGATTCTGGCACCATCTCTGTTCAAAGCCAGCATGGACTCACTTAGCACTGTAATAAAGGCAAATTGACACTTTAATGTGGCGTCAAAACAATTATTACTCTATCAAGTATTTATTAATACTTATTCTATTTATCTGAGTGTAGTAGAAGCAAAAAATCTGAAACCCATTCATGTTGCTTACATGTTTCACTATCAGTGTAAAAGTCATTACATATTCTAAAACTTAGTCCAACTGAACTGTTTTGCAATAAACCACTAGCTATTTAATGTTGCTATTTTCAGTGTGGTTTAATTTGATGACCAATTTACATACTTCCTGTCTAATATCTGGTTATTAAATGAGATCACAACTAACATGTGGAAATAAATCTCAGACGGGAACATGGACATCTCACACTGGCAGAAAGACATCTACAACAAGTAACACACCAAAATATTCTTTATTATTAAGATGGACATGAGAAGCACATAATACAAAACATGCAAGGATGCAAAATTAGATACAAATAAGAAATCAAAAAGTGTACAAAGACAAACAGTTAGTACAACACAAATGAGACATAATAAGTACAAAAAAAAAACAACTAAATGTTAGTCAGTAAAAAAAGGGTTACTGCATTACTGCATGGCTTCTTTTCCATCATAAGCCAATGAGGATATGGGTTTGTTTTTACATTAGTGTAACACTGACTCACAAAAAAATTAAAAAAAATAAAACCTGGTGCAATTTATGTGCCGCGTCATAACCTAAATTGATTAATGTATTACATCACAATGATTCAGCACTTGAAGATTTAGAAAGCGCAAACATGTTTTTACCTACTTTTAAAAATGCTGCTATCCTAGACATTTTTTGTTGTGCTTGCTTTTAAGACTGTTTTGATTTTTTAACAGAAATTCAAGTACATTTTTTATGTTTCAAAAATATACAATTTCATGATTTTTGTTTGTAGGACATCCTTCATGTGACACAGGAATTAAACAGACTAATCCACTTCATTTGTGTTGTTTAGTGACAGTATTATAT